CGGGGCTTCTGTGTGTACATGAGCCCCTGAGTTTTTCCCAAACTGAGCTCTAGTTGGAAGTGTTTTCCTTCTGTACTAATTTTGTGGGGAGAGGCTCCCTAGGATTCAACATATGTTCAAAAGAGTCTGCTTCAACCCCCCAGGAGACTTTGGCCAAATTCCACCGAAAAGAAATAACAATAGTTTGCCTCTTCGCTCCACGATGCTGTCCTGAGAATTAAAGAACCTCATGGATAAAAAATGACCTTCAAACTAAAGGAAACCCAGAGGGATTGGCCTTGCTCTTCTATGCCCACGGATGCAGAGTGTCCTGGGCGTGGGAACAGGTAACACCTGAGTCCTCCTGGGAGCACGGACCCCCTGAGTCAGCATGAAGGACATGTGGGGAGGGACCACAGGGAGGACCCTTTGAGTAAGTGGAAACAGCCCGTTTCAGGGCTGATGGTGCGGGTCTGCGCTCCCTCTTCACGGCTGGCAGGCATGGGTACCCTGAGCACAGCCCTGAGCCCTGGCAGCAGCTGGTGTTCCAAGAAGACAACTCCCCAACCCCCAAACGGCCAGGCAGCTCGGAGCAAGTGGTGCATGGAAGGGAGAGGAGCGCGCACTGCAGTGAGGCTGCCGCGTGTGACTGCAGAAGCTCTGTGGCTGCAGAACTCGCTAGAGGACACAGCTGAGCCCTTAGAGGTCATGCCTGCTCCTGTCCAGGGTGCAGGGGAAGAAGCCCATGCCTACCCTTCTTCCACGGTCAGGCAGAGTGGCTGCCTCCCACAGCCCACCCTGAAACTCAGTTCCCGTTTTCTGCCGCCCCCTGCCTTGCACTGAAATTCCAGCTGAGCCTTTGATTCTGTGCAGAGACTGCAGAGGCCAGCCTGATTGTGCACAGGTCAGATGGACTATCCTCCCACCCACGGATCAACTCTCACTCACCCTGGCTGCCCCTTCTTGGAGGGACTGCCCGTGAGTCACAGGCAGGTGGCAGGCAAGGCTCCATTCACTCACAGCCTCACAGACAAAGAGCTGGAGCAGGGCGGGGACGGAGGCCAGACCCACAGGGCTGCTGTCCTCTTTCTTCTGCTGCCAAAGAAGGAGGGTGGTGAAAGGGGACAGGGCTCACTGCTTCCATAGGACGGAGGGAAAAAAAAAACTGTGGTTGGGTATGAATTCCCTCTGCCTCAATGTATTTCCCATTTTACAGCTTTCGTCACCTTGGGCTCAAAGTACTTTCCAAAAACAAGCTGAAAGAGACTTCGTCTTCCAATGCAGGGGGTGCGGGTTTGATCCCTGGTCAGGGAACTAAGATCCCACATGCCTTCTGGCCAAAAAACCAAAACATAAAGCAGAAGTAATATTGAACAAATTCAATAAACACTTTAAAATGGCCCACATTTAAAGGAAATAAAAAGAATCTTAAAAAACACCAAAAACATGCTGAAGGGGCTTCAGGTGGAAATAGGTCTGTGGCTGCCCCTACCTCACTCAAAGTGGTCCACAGGCTATGTGTCCCACACCCTTTCCCTCCATTTCCAGTGGGCTCACACCATCCCTCCTCTTTCACCTCTCTCCTCTCCCGCCTTGGACCCTGGCAGTCGCCACTTCCTCTGCCTGGACTGCTCTTCCCCCAAGTATCTTTGTCTGCTCCTTCACCTCCTTCTGATCTTTACTCAAATATCAGCTTCTCAGGGAGGCCTTCTCTGGACAACTTCTCCAAACTTACAGCTCTCAGCCAATACGCAGCCCAATTCCTGACCTCATTTTTCCCTATAGCACTTATCGCCATTTGATGTTCTATTCTTTATCTTATTTCTTGTCTGGCTCCTTCTGCTATAGTGTCAGCTCTCCCTGAAGGTCAGGGTTTTGTTTGTTGCTGTGTTCTCAGTGCCTGGTACAGCATCTGGCACATAGTAGGTGCTTAACAAACTGTTGTCATTGTGATTTGCTTTCCTACCCAGCATCCCTGGTTGGCCATTATCCAGGGATGGATTGGCAGAGCCATAGGAAAGTGAAGGAATCAAGAAGAGAGGTAAAGAAAGAACAAGAACATGAAAATATGGAAAAGTATGTGTTTGGAGAGATGATACGGAGCAAAGTGCAAGTTAGGAGATTTCTGATTAAATAACAAGAGGGTGGGGACGTCCCTGGTGGTCTAGCAGTAAGACTCCACACTCCCAATGCAGGGTGTGATCCTTGGTTGGGGAACTAAAGATCCCCCATGCCACACAGTGCAGCATAAATGAATGAATGAATAGATAAATAAATAAATAAATAACAGAGGGTGTGTAAAAGGGCAGGTATGTGCTAAGGAGGAAGGACAGCATACCAGAGAGGGAAGCTATCCAGAATGTCCAAGAAATCTAACCTGATGAAGCAATTGACGCTTGGGCAGAGTGCCTGGGTTTGGCTGCAGCCACAGCTTTCGGCCCCTTGCTGGTCTTTTGCCACAGTCCCGTCCTCTGGAGATCAAGGGAGCTGTGCCAGTGGGCCTGGAAGTAGAAGAAGCAGCAGGGAAGGGAAGGCGGCGCAAGTAAAAGACCCATGAGTGACACAGGGGAGCTTGGGGCAGACCACTATGCAGTGGAGGAAGTGGAGGTGAGAGGCCAGTGGAGTTTCAGTGGCAGAGACGGAGGGAGGAGCCTGGAGGAGCAGCAGGAGAAGATGGCCCCAGAAGGAGGAGAGATGCGCAGAGGTGGAGGCAAGTGGAGGGGCACAGCTGTGACACAGAAGCAGACACCTTACAGGCCTATGCAGGAAACTGTCACCACTGCTCCTGCCATCTGCCCCTGGAGTTCCGTACCTTTTTCTTTTTTAAGTTTTGTGTTTTTATTATCCTAAAGCTCTAAATTCTCATGCTCTTTCTCAAGGATGGAGATGTATATAGATATACATATCTATATAATATCTACATAGATAAACATGGGAGATTATAATTTGGAAACTTTTAATGTTTTAGTCATATTTGGTGTTTAGGACGGTGACATTAAGGTATCCCTCCCCTTGAGTTTGGGATTCCCAGGTGGTGCTAATGGTAAAGAATCCACCTACTAATGCAGAGATGCAAGAGACATGGGTTCGATCCTTGGGCTGGGAAGATCCCCTGGAGTAGGAAATGGCACCCCACTGCGTTTTCTTTCCTAGAAAATTCCATGGGCAGAGGAGCCTGGCCAGCTATAGTCCAGGGGGCCACAAATAGTCAGATATGACTGAGCAACTAGGCATACACAATGACCCTTTGAGTTTGGTAACAAGGACAGAAAAAGTCACTTTCTGAAACTGAATCTACCAAAATCAATAAAGAACAGATGCTTTTAGCCAGTTGCCAAATAATTCAAATTAAGAGGCAACTTCTAAATGGAGACAAAGGGACGAGGATGCTCTGTGAGGCACTCCCTATATGGGTGTTTAGACTGGAGTTTCTCATTCTAATCAAGTTGATCCAAGAGGGTATGTCCTAAGAACTGCAATGCAGTTAAAACAAAGCTGTAAATTAAACCAACGGTCTGACACATCTGATTGTCTTAAGAGGGTGGTATGGAGTTTAGTTAGAGGAAGGCCAAGAAATGAAAACTTCCAGTGTCTATCCAACTGGTCCACAGGAGATTCTTCTCTGATCTGAAAGTCCAATCCTGATGTTCTAGACATCTTTGATCTGGAGAATGGAATAATCTCGATACCCTAGCTGAATGGAAACATTCCTTATAACACCTGATTGCCTATGTTCTAATTCACTGCTCACCACAAAGGTTCTAAGCTAAGGACCATGTCTGTAACTTGGCCAGATGGAAATAGTCTGAGGTAAACCGGCAAATGGACCTGCTTGCAGACAGATCCTTCAGTCACTTGAGAGAATTTTGGGAAACTGTGTTTTGCTTCTGCTGGGCCTGGTCACCAGAGAGCTGGGATAAAACTCCAACAAAATTCATCCCTGAGGACTGGTTAAAGACTCTGGGTTAGCCTCACCAAGGTGCTGATGACAGAGAGGGCTTGTCTGAAGCAGTCATCCAGTTTTTCCTTTTTGTCTTCTCTTTTAGCTGTAATCAAAATTCAGAGGTCGAAATATGTAAATTGGTAAAAAGACATCTATAGCACTACATGTGAAATTACTTCAGCAAACATGGCATCAGGTCACCAATAAACAGTACACTTCCAACAGGCATTTAGTATGAACACGCTGTCTAAACATTCCTTAATCTAAAGGAGCATAAGACTGAAGGCAGGATATAAACTTCCATCTGAGATGTTCATGACTCTTTTCTCCTATTATCAGGGCAACTCTATGCAAACATTAGCAGAGGAAGTGAAAGAAAATGGTCTGGGAGGGCAAACACAGCGGTTACCCTTCTTCTCTGGAAGATTCAACCAGTTTGATTCTTTTTTCTGGAGATCGAATCCTCAATGCTACAGCTTTTCATCTCAATAGCAGAGGGCCAGATTCAGACCTGTTATTCTTTCCAGCTGAGATTATTTTATTCCATTTCTGCACATTTTGATAACAAATTCCTTTCCCTCCCTACCACCAGCTGTATCTCCATCCTCTGAAATGCCACCTGAGCAGCCAAGGGTGACTAGCCCTGGCTGCTCCTCATTACAAAAGGACCATCACCAGGGAAGAATATCAGATATGTGATAGGTGAGTGGTCAACCTCTTCTATACTCAAGTCGTAAAAGAATGGTTAATTAACTAAATTCCATCGGTTGTGTTAAAAATATACTTCCATCAGGTAGATGTCCTTCTCTGAATGCTACGGGACAGTGAAAAATGTTCAGATCAATGAGACCTGTAGTATCTTCTATTGGTACACACTTTAGGCTGGATGCAGTGTGACTAAACAGATGATACAGGAAGGTCCGCATGAAGACACACGTGACCAGAGACAGAGACAAAGACACCTCCGGGGCAGCCATGTTGCCAGCTCCAAAGGGGCAGTGGGGCCACCTGCTGGAAGGCCTGGACACTGCTCAGGCTGTTTGGTCCCTCTGCCTCCTCCGAGTCCTTTGAGGCTGGTCTATGGCAAGACTGTGATCTTTTTCTCCAGCTTCTGTGGCGGAAACAGGAAGTTTCTCATGATCTCATCCAGCTCTTCCAGGGCCAGCTGGGCATGAAGCCTGGCCACGTCATCGGGCTCCAAACACAGCACGTGCTTCAGCAGGTGGTAGAGATCCTTGAGGACATCCCTCAGCACCTGGACGAGAAAGAGAGAGTCAGGGCCATCTGTCTGCCGTGCCAAATTTTCTCTGCGTGACCTAACTGCCTTCTCCTATCTGAGGTGTTCTGGGAGGAAACCTACAGGCTCCTTTAAGATAAAAAGTGGTCCTCTCAGGTGGGAGATGGGAGTGGGGCAGCTGTAATGAGAGAGGCTTCCCTTTGGGTTTCTCACACGCTCTTGACCCCTTACCACGCTGGCCTTTGTGATTGCTACTCCCTTTTAGCCCCTGACCCAAGTAGAGATCCCAGACCCCTTCCTTCAGTCCCAAAGCATGGCACCAACCTCAGGACCACAGGCAGGCAGTACTGCCCGATGCAGGTTTTGTTAGCATCCTCCCCCACCAACTCCCACAAAGCCCTCTGTGACACCCACAGAACTGGCATCTAGCTTATGAAACCCAGGGGGCTATTCTTTGGCAACCATGCTTTTCCTTGCCACTCCTTTAAAAGTTTTCCACTAGTTTCATTCTGGTGCAGTTCTCTCAGCCACTCTGTAACTTTTTTTCAACTCCAACTCTGCAACATGAAACAAGATAGGACTCCATAAACACAGACCCATTTCTTCTTGTCCAATACTCTGACCTACCTGATGGTCTCATATGGAACTGGGAAGGTGCCAAAGAACAAAGCACCTCCTCCTAGGAGCTTCTAATTTTGTCCCAAATCCTCCTGGCTCGGAAGTCAGAACTTCTAGCAAGAAATGGGTTCTTCTAGCAAGAGAGCAGGGAAACTCAGTATAAGGGGACTTAGGGATCATTTGGTCAGACGAAGGACGGAAGAGTCCAGGTCACAGTGGATCACATATCTTGTCTGCAGCTACTTGCAAAGTTACTTCTGGTCTAGGACTCTTTGCCTCAAATGCTACATTTTTTGGTTCAGGTTCTGTACTAGATATTTTCTTTATATTATCTAATTTTTATGCCAGTCATATGAAGGGAAGTTATTAACCCCACTTTACAGATAAAGAAACAGAGTCGATTAGAGAGTTAAGTAAACTCCCAACATCATTTGGCTAAAGAAAGGAGAAGCCAGTTTTTAAACTTTCAGAGTCTGTGTTTCTTACCTGTTTATTTTTATTGAAGAGAAAATACAGTATAAAGAAGACCATATTAAAAAATAAGTCTCTTTTCTACCAAGACTCCTAATTTCTCTTCTCAGAGGATATCATTCTTAACTGTGCGAAATATTCCAGGTGTTTATAAGCATATATATATATGTGCGTGTGTGGATATATATATATCTATCCGCCTTTTTTTCCCTTCCCCTTTTTAAAGCACAGAATTATATGCTACACTGCTAAGTACCATGATTCCACTCCACTGAATGTATTTTGAAGATCTTTTCCTATACAAAAATTATTGCAATAAACATTCTGATACCTAATATTTGCAGACATGAACAAGTATATCTGCAGGACAAGTATCCAGAAATGGAATTCCAAGATCAAAGGGTAATGTGCAGTAAAAATCTTGATAGCTGGCCAGAGAGGTTGTAATATATATTTTTACCTATCACTTTGAAAACTCCTATTTCCCCATATTCTCATAAGTACTACAAACTCTTTGTTAATTAAATTAATGGAAAAATAGGACCTTGCTGTTTTAAATTTGCATCTTTCTAATACATAAAAAAAGAAATAGGAGAATGGAGAAATTCTTTCATTCTTTTGCTTCTATGGCTTTTCATAAAAATCATGTAATAAATATATATATAATAGCTTATATACAACAGACACAGATTACCTCTGAAAATACTGGTTGCCTCCAGCAAGGGAAACTGGAGAGAGATGGGGGGGATTATATACCCTTTTATGCCAGTTTAATATTGTATTTTATGAATATATAATCTATTAAAGATAAATATGCCTTTTTTGAACTGAATTAACTACTAGACAAAGATTTTCCTAAGGCCACTTAATAGGTAAAGGAGACACAGAACCTGCTTTTAAAAGCTTACCCTCTGGTGGTGAGTCTGCTTACCCTCTGGTGGTAAATGAAGGCAATACAGAACAGAACATGGAAAGTTCCTGAGAGCAGAAAGTATATGAAAAGAGGTTCGAGGAAACAGAGGTCACATTTTAGGAACAGGAAGTGAATTGGAAATGGTGAACAAAAATGATGGGAAATGGTTAATTCAGTGGGTACCAAGTACATTTATATCTATGATGTAGTTAAATTTATCAATTTTGGGGGTGGATCTGGCCCCCATGACCCCCTAAACATTCTACACAAGTATACTAAGCACGTAGCATCACACATCTTGAACTTGCTAAAGAACAGAAGATGAGGGACTTCCCTGGTGGTCCAATGGTAAGACTCCATGCTTCCAATGCAGGGGGCCTGAGTTCAATCCCTGGTCAGGGGATTATGCTCCAACCAAGCTCCCTTATGCTCCAAATAAGCTCCCTTATGCTCCAACTAAGAGTTCGCATGCCTCAACTAAAGATCCCACATACTGCAACTAAAAAAAAAAGATTCCTTACGCTGCAACTGAGGATCTGGGGCAGTCAAATAAATAAATTAATAGGAAAAAAAAAAGAATAGAGACAGAGCCCTTCCCATCATTTGATATTCTCGAACAGCATGGGCACTGGGGAGTGGAAGGAGGTAGGTAGGGGGTGGGGGACACAAAACCAGCTCCCCAGGCCACCTGCTGGTCTCCCTCTTGTCCCTGGGCTCCAGCTGTGTAGGCCTTCTTCTTTCCTTGTCTGAGCAAAGCCCCTCCCCAGCTCAAGGCCTTTGCTTATGTTGTTCCCTCAGCGTGGGAGACCACTTTTGCTCTCTCTTCGCCTATAAGTCCTCCTCACCCTCAGCCTGAAATGCCACATCCTAGCTCCCACCTAGCTAAGCCTTTTAGAGTTGTGTCTGTAGCCTCTCTCACAATTGCAATTTAAATACTCACTGTGTAACTAAAAATATATTTTCCTCACTAGCTCACACTACTGATGCTGATGCCATGTCTTGCCTTGTACACTCTGGTGTAGTCTCAATGCCTCATAGAGTGACTGGCACATGGCAAGTATCTAAAAAATATTTATAAGTGAGAGAAGGCACACATGCATGCTATTCCTGGCTAGTCTGTCACTTGGTAAAAGCTAAAAATTCTAAGAACATTCACTGAAACAGTGTCATGAAACCAGGCCTGATTCACAGGTGTGTGACCTGTGCAGCCACACAGGGTCCCATGATCAAGAGGGCCCCATGCTTGGTTTAATGGTTTGCTGCTGCAACGTGACAGTTAATAACTGCATCTTTGAGCTTGTATTTTATAAGTGAAGTTCAAAAGGACACAGGAATCTGACAGTGAGCAGAGGAGACCTGCCCCATACGTGTTTCCCCCATTCCTGCCAGTGCCCCATGAGCTCTGCTCTGATGCACCTACATGTGGGAGTTCAGCTAGTCCTGAAGCCTCTACCAGGGAGGGTCTCTGTTACATTCATGACTGAAAAGTAAAGGCACTGAAAGCCTGGAGAGGCCACACTTCTGTCGAAACCACCACTTGCTTCAAACATAGTAAGCAGGCGATGACTTTCCAAGAAACATGGATGAGGAAGGAACCCATCATATCCTCTGCGTGGATTCCCCGTGTTAGCCAGCCATTTATGCTGAAAATGATGACAGAGAAGGAAACAGGACAGCCCACAGTTCTTGTTCTTTCACCTTTTCCTTATCCATCAGTCAACTAAAGATAAAGGGTGTTGGTAAGATGAGCATGTATCAAGATGTGAAATAAAAACAGTTAATTTTGTGCAGACTTTCCACTGTTCTGCTCGGAAGGAAATACATATGAATGTACCAGCTACAGAATACAAATTGTATAATTTTGGTGATCCCACATATAAGTTAAACATGTGTGGGTTTAAATGAGTTAAACATCTGAAATTGGCATCATACAATATAAAGATGATCAGTAAAATCAATGCTAATGGTCTAACACACAAAAGGTTCTCAACTTAGAACAGTGTTAACAGCAAAAAATAAACCCCTTGACAAGTCATAGGACAGAGACTGTGGAAGAAAGGAAAACAACTTGATATTTAAAAACCCTGAAAAGTACTTTCTCCTTTTTTTTTTTTTAAACAAGTGACCCTGCATTTTCATTTTGCACTGGGCCCCACATATTATGCACTTGGCCCTACAGACAACTCTCTCTGCTCCTTGCCCGATGTCTCAGCATTAAATGCCTGAATCCTACAGGCAAAGTCCACAAAGATGCCACACCACCTCTGCTGTGTGGTTGTCTCCTGACGTTCTCCAGAGCTGCTGGGTCATGACGCGCAGGTGTCTGACTCTGGAACTATCACCTGCTGCCCTTTCATAACCTAGTTTTCTCCTTCCCCAAGGCTGCCAGTGTGAAAAGGAGAAACGATTCTGGAAAGAGGATGACTCCCCACAGTGACTGCCTCATGCTTACTCACTCATTCAATAATCGTTGTTGAGGGCCTACTTCGTGTCCAGGCAGTGTGCTGGTGATAAAAGGTGAATAATGTACAAGCCCTACCCTCCGGCAGCTAAAGCCCAGCAGGGAGGCAGACACGCACACCAGTATGATCCTCAATCTAAGAGATAAGTGTACGTGATTCCACGGAAGCAAAGGAAGTTATTTCTGCCTATGGAGGTGAGGAGGAACATCTCCCTGCCACGCGAAAAGGCCTTCGCTCTGACTTTTATTTGTAGCCAATGGGTGGCACCACAGAGTGGCCAGGGGAAGTTTTACTGTCTGTCCCCCCTTACCCTCAAACCACCTCAAATAAATGCAGAGTCTAAGCAAACTAGCATGCCTGTTTTTGAATAAAACTTAAAGACAAATCTCCCGACACTCTCTTCAATGGATTATAGCCCAGTGTCTCTTATACAGAGATTCTAGTGCTCCCATTGTTTATTGTAAGGTCATCTCTTTTTCTTCTTTCACCTAGCCAGAAACAACCTTAGAGATTTTTTGCTAGAGCCTCCTAACGGGAGATTTGGACTGACATGT